TTGAAAGATTACTAAACCTGAAAAGATTTCCTTAAGAGGTGATTATGAATACAAATGTAGGACTTCGATCTGTGAAGAGAAACTATGAGTCACTTAAGACAGAGGAAATCATATCAGATAAGGCTTAAAGGCAAACAGTGATTTTGTTGTGATTGAAAGTTGGTAAGCAATGATAAAAATTAATAATATTAGTACTATATTGACACTGACTTACCATGTCCTAGCGTGGGGCTCAGTGCTAAGCACCATGTGTGATAGTTACCTTTATTTTTCCATTTTATAGACAAGAATATCAAGGCTTAGATAAGTTACTTGCCAGTTGTCCCACAGCTTTAATGTAGAGGCCAGAATTGAATTTAGAGCTGTCTGATGCCAAAGCCCAAGTCCCTGACCCCTGAATGGAGTTGCATTTTACCTGGAGACTGGGCTCTTATAGCAGCTCATAGGGTGAACGTTAGGCAGAGGTGAAACTTCTAAAACTCCCTTAAGGAGGCACCATTTTGGAAAACAATGTACCATTTCCCAGGAAGCCCAACACAGCCAGAGTTTCCTCTACCACTGGACCAGATTGTAGTCACTTTGGACGAACAACAGATAAGAGAGCTGTTAGGGACAAATTGTGTGAAAAATATACACCTTTAGACATTGTACACATACACCATGAGGTGAGATGCTTTCAGTACAAAAAACACTTAGGAACAGAGACTGAGTGAAAGAAGAGTAGAATCAAATCTCCCATCGGAATTTTCCTGTACCACTTAAAAAGTTAATTTTTGCCCCCACCACATGCTGTGTGTATACGTAGTTGATTTTGCATATACCACTTTACATTATACAATCTGGCCAAAGCCAAGCAGCCTTGCTGGTCTAGAGAGGATTACTTAATTCTTCTTCATATTGAAAATCTTGTTAAATATTTATTACTTGCTCTAGTATATTCAAAGCCAAAGCTGGTAGAATCGGGCAACACGTCAATCTTGGGAATATATGCTTCAAATCTCTCCAAAATTGATCAACAAAAGGGATGGCTTCGACTGTGTCAAATAAAAAATTCCATCATCTGAGATGCATTTTACCATAAAAAGAAGGATAATGCTCACTTTAATTCAGCCTTCCTTCTCTGTTTAGTTCTGTCTGATTTCCCCTTAGAGCTCTTATTTTAATGCGTTTGGTGACTAGGGCCTGGAAGGGTGTTATGGCAGTGGAAATTCTTTTTCAGAATCTGAGAGAAAAATTCAAGTGTCTCCCTAGCCAATCAGTAATGACTTTGTGTCTCATGTTGTTGAGAACAGTTCTTCCCAACTCTATTCCCACCACAGCACACTGAGGCAGGAGGTATGCTCCACCAGTATAAAACAATGTTCTCAGCAGGGGTGACAGTGGTAACACTTTAATTCCCAGGATAGGGAAGCAGAATTTTGGGAGTTTAGATTGAGTGTAGTTTGAAAAATCTTCCTCTGGAGAGTCTGTTACATCCCCCTAAGGGGTATTACTCTCACTCTCCAATTAAGCATTCATTGGTTTAGAAAGATGGCACTTGATACATGTTCATTGCATTTATGTACTTACTTAGGGTTACCCTCCCAGGCTGGGGGCTTTTGAACAGCATCTAGTCCTAATATTTGCAGTCTCCCCTGTGTAGTTGTTGGCATCCGTCCACGATGTTCCTTGGAGTACGTGGAGTGGGGGCTGTCCCAAGGCTTTGTGCAGTAGGTGAGGGGATTTTATTAAAATGCTGAGAATAGCATGTCAGAGACATTACAGCTTGGGTGCCTATCATGCTTATATACTCTTTTTGAAAGAGGCTGCAAGCAACACAGGTAAAAGGTAGCAACACAGTCTGTTTCTTTAGCATATGTGGCCATGTTCTGTGGCATGTGACCTTTCCATCTTAGCCACAGATGAAGAACTAGGAGAGGGCACCTGGCTCAGGAGTGGGCCAATCTATATGTTGCTCAGTGGCTTATGAGAAAGACTCACACAAAACTGGTGATAGAATCAGATACCCTCCCTCTTCCCCAAGGCATTTGATTATGAGATATATGGGGACAGTTGGCAACTGGTTGTGGGAGCAGAAGCGGAAAGACAGGCAGAGAGACAAAGAGCTGTGGTTGTGCAACTTGAATTATGCATTGCTGTGTTCTGAAGACATTTCATGGGGAGTTGGAGCCGTGGTGTGCTAGAGCTGGCTGTGTGCATCTCTTCCCAACTCTGCCTTCAGAGACTTCTGGTTGGTGGCAGTATTTACGCCATATAAATTGGTTAATGCTACAGATCAGGTCCCTTCCCACCTTCAGTCCAGATCTGGCTGTTAAATGTTTACCAGCATACCACTGGGTTGGAGGAGGGATGGTATAGGAAGCAGGGGAAGCAGTTGCCTCTGCTGGATCCTTTGCCTTAAAGTAAAAAAAACAATGTTTCAAGTAATATGTTAACATTATTGTTATTAAGACTATAATAAAAAAGACATTAGACAATATCTGTAAGCATTGTGAAATATCTAACGAAAATATCAGTGGTTAAACTACAAAACTCATAGGAATGTGGTCAGAGGGTGGTACCTTTCTTGTTCCCCCAGCTATGAAAGGCACAGGCCCCTCCCTCCATGGCCACAAAGGATGATGTGACAAGCCGGTTAAGCCTTTGGTCTTATTTCCACACGTATTCTTTACCTCTGCTACTGCAGGTAACCTGAGTGCAGACCAGTTGCTTGTAAAACTGCAGGAGCTCAATGAATATAGTTTTTGAATGTCACTCTTTTTTTTTTTTAAATCTAGAGATAATAAGACAGATTAGTATGCTAAAAAGTGTATGTGCACTTTGGAATGAGGTTTTAATTCCAATACTACTTCACCCCTTTCTGGTAGCAAAATATTTCTTATCTATGCCTCAGTTTCCTTAGCTGTAAAATAGGGATACACGTAATAAACTCAGAGATATTTGTGAGGATTAAATGAAATACCAGGTGTAGAACATTTAGCACAGTGTCTAGCACTTACTGTATGCTCAGTAACTTGAGTTCTTTTCTTCTCTGCTTAGCATACTTATTTAAGCCTTTAGAATAACTGTTGGTGTTGCTGATAGTGAAGTCATCAAAGTTGATGCAATTAACTCTCCATTTATATTAACATGAGTTAGGTTGTAATGACATTGTATTCTTTATAATTTTACATTTTTTGTACTTAAGATCATTCAACTAAAATATTTTAAATATAACCATAATTATTAATATTACAATTCTTTGAGACATGCTTTTCTCTACACTTAGGGAACTCCTACATTCCAGTCTACAAATGGTTGTGCTTATTTTATTTTTGTTTTTAAACAAACATTTGGACTATGGGCAAAGAACTTTGCTGGGTGTTGTGGGGGAAGTAAGAAAAACAGATGCTTATGTAATACAAGGTTAAATATATGAAAACAAGGAAATAGAATACTGAAGTTTCCTGAGTATTTCCTTCCAACTACCTAGGTGTCAGGTACCTTTATTTGTCATTTAAATCCCTCACTGTATTAAAATTTACTTACCATTGGTTCATCCAGGTCATCTACGCTTAGTTCCATTCATCACTGCCAGTACGTAAGGGTGAAATCTGCCCATTTTCCAGGTGTAATTCATGGGATGTGATGTTTTCCAATACCAGATGTTTTGAGCGTAGCTACTTGCAATGGACTGATTTTTGGCTCACGGGCCTTAATATTTTGCCAGCATTGAATTTATTTTGAAATAAGGTTTCTGATTTTCAAATACAGCATTTTCAAACAAACAGTGTGATGTAAAAATTACCATCACTTTAGTTCATGTTAGAAAAATCCACATTCTAAATCTGTTTGACATTTACCCCTTAAGTATTTTGCATCAATAAATCATTTCTGTACGCATCTTAAAATGTTCATAAGTAATTACATAACATCTTACATCTCCAGGACCTGTCCCATTAGTTTGAGAAAATAAATATATTATAGCAATTAAGACACAATTATGTTGTCTTGAAAAGCTAAGGGTCATTTGGACTTGATTACCTTAGTTGTCAGTGCCAAAGAAAAGTCAGGCAACTACAGGCTGGGGCTTGTAATTAAACATCTGGAACTGACAGTTTGCTCATCAGAGGTAGCACCTTTTGAATAAATTTCAACATTGCACTTTAGACAAGGTACAATAAATACAAAACAAGCGTGGTGGGCGGGGGACGAGGGGGGAGGATGACTAGAGGTTGGAGGTGGAGAAAAAGACCAGTGTAAAGTTCAGCATTTAGCTGGTGTGAAAAACTATCGTTCCATCAGCCTGCCTTGACTCCATATATGGTGTTCAAATGTAAGTTCGGGAAGAGCCCCACTGCAATTTTGGCTAAGAAAGCACACACACACCCCTCTGGGGTAGAGGACCCACTAACCGGGAATGCAGGCGGGTGGTTTTACGGATTAGAACGCTGCTCGGTATGTACAGGATGGCCCGCCTGCATAAGTGGCAGTGCGGCTCCTGCCTCGCTGTCCTACACTTACAGAAGCATTTGTCAGAACTTGTATCCCCTCATTACCAAAGCTCCGAGCCCCCGACATTTCTTCCCACAGGTCCCTGGCTCGCTGTCCGGTCTGTTCGTGGTGGTTTCTCCCTCTCCCACTCCTTCAGGGGTCTCAGGTGGAGCCTGCGAGGTGGGTGCTCGGCTCCGCTCTTGGCCCCCGACGTTGGAAAGGGATGCCGCCTGGCAGAGGGAGTCCACGTCCCGGTCGCGCTCGGCGGCTGGCGACCGGCGGCCTTGGGGCGGCTGTGCAGGAGGAGGAGGAGGCAGAGAGGAGGAGGACGAGGAGGAGGAAGGAGTTGGCGGCCGCCGAGGCCCGGGCAGCGGGCCCCAACCGCGGCCGGCGCGCTCCGCGGTCCTCCCTCGCTCGTCTCCTATGCTCATATTTGGACTCGGCTGCCCGTGCCCAGGAATTTCCCGTCATGCCTCCCGCCGCCCCGTCCGTCGCCCGGAGCCGGGAGGGAGGGAGGGAGGCTCGGACAGCGGCGGCGGCTCCCTGGCCTTTCCATGAGCCCGCGGCGGACCCTCCCGCGCCCCCTCTCGCTCTGCCTCTGCCTCTGCCTGGCCACGGCCGCGGCTCGCGGCGCCGCGCAGTCCGGTAAGTTCGGGCTCAGCTCCCCGCCTCGCCTCACGCCTCCCGCCCGACCCTGCCAAGTTAGGGTGTGACCCCGAGCCCGATTCCCCGGAGACCGCCTGCGCCCCCCGGCCTCCGGCGGGGACACCCGCTTCCCAAGCCGAGAACGGGAGCAGGAGGGCTGCGCCCCGCGCGGGCGCTGAGGGGCCGAGTGGAAGGAGGTCAGGGCTGCCCCCCGCACGCCCCCGCCGACAGGAGGCGTCTGGCCGCCTCTCTGACACCTTATCCCGTCCCTGGAGCGAACCTGAGCCCGCGGGAGCCTCTCGCCCCGCGGGGCCCCCGAGGGCGGGATCTGGCGGGGCAGCCGGAGAGAGGCAGGGGAGGGGGCGCAGGCCCCGGCTCGGGAGGGTGCGGGCCCGCGGCAGGGACCACCGGAGCCCCCGGCTCAGCGCGAGTCGGCCCCGCCAGGGTTGCCGCCCGGATAACGGGCCCCGGGTGTGGGAATTCGCGGCCCGGCTCGCTCCGCCCGCTGCGCGTGTCTGAGGGGACCGGGCGCGGGGGCGTCGGGCGGGGGCAGCGCGGGGCGCGGCGGGCGGCGAGGAGGGGCGCACCTAGCTGAGCGCGCTCGCCCAGCCCGCCCTCCGCGTCGCCCGCTCCGCCGACCAGGCTCCGCGGGCCCGGCTGGAATTTCATAGGCCAGAATCGAACAGAACCCCCAGTTTGCCAGGTACCAGTTTTGTTTTTTGTTTTTAAGCGGAAGAAAGCATCTAAGTCAATTTTTTAAAGTTTTACACTGGACTTTTTCAAGTCAAAGTATATGAATGAAAAATGCTGTTCTTGCTATATTTGGTTTAGGGTTGTAAGTTATCAAGTGTGCTAATTCTGAAGTCATAACAGTGAGATTTTTAAAGACAGTTTTCTTTGAATCGTGGGAAATATTAGAGAGGATTTTTTTGGTGTGGGTATTATTATTAAAAAGCAGTTATTTGGAGGTACAAATTTAGAGTTTAAAGTAAATGTGAAATTGCATGAAGTTTTACATTGGTGATGAGTAGTCATCAAAACTTCTTGGTTCTTAATGTTATATGGAATGGAAGAACAGAAATTATAATTCCTTAGAGCTGAATTACTTAGGAGATTTTAGCTTGCTTTTGTTTTTGCCACCAATAGACTAAACTGTCAAAATAAGATATGGCTAACTAGGGCTTATAAATTAGTTGAAAGCTGACTTTGTTAAACATAGATTATATTCAGTATTCTCTGGTTTATCTCTTCATATCAGCATTGGTGGCAAAAATGATTTTAAAGGAGTTTTTGTTTGTAAAAAATCTTCAGGGCTCATATAGTTGTCAGTTCTGATTAATAGTAAATATTTAACTTTATCAAATGTGCAGTTTAAAAATAGTAATTTAAGCAATGGTATCAGTTTCATGTTTGTTTCTGAATAATATTGTTTTTCAAAAAGAATTACTTTTTATAGATTCATATTTTAGAAGTAACTTTCCTGGTACTTCTTGGAAACACAACAGGTTCTAACTTCACATTTTATCAATGGATTTCTAAAAAATACCATGCTGGATGATAAAGAATGGATTGTGTTGTCAGGAAATAAATGTATGCTTTTTCTGTCTTTTTTTTGCCTCAGTGATGTGTTGACTTACCTAATACTTGTGGTGAAACAGTCCTTGAAGACCAAAATCCACTGTACTGTGGCTCCTTGCCAATAATTTTGAACACCAAGTTTATATTTGGACCATTTAAACATGTATTCTTTTAATTTCGGTCCCAGCCGATACATCAGTCTAATTTCTGGTGACTTTTATTAGGGTCCTACATGAATGTCTGGACTTTTTTAAAATATTAAAATAAGTAGTTCTTTGCTATTTAGAATTTTGTCACAGTGCCTTAAACTGCCTGTCTGCCAAGGTTGCAGCATCCAGCGTCATTTAGATTTTGAATCAACACACTGGTTTTTGCTTTTAAAGGTGCTTGTTCCAATGTTTTTTTTTTTTTTTTTTTTGCTTTCCATCCTAATTTGTCCTCTTGTTCCAATGTTTTAACTAAAATGTTAACCCATTAAGTCAGAAATCCTTACTGTTTTGCTGAAGTCAAGTAATAAGTATATCCAAAAACTGTCCCAACAGTAGGATTAATCAGATATTATAATACATTTGCCATTTATTAATTAAAAATAGATTTTAAACCAACAAAGAGCAACTTTAGGAAATGATGCTTTTTGTTTCTATCATAGTCTGGTCACAATCCCTTTGATTTTATCTGCACTGTATAATTTATTGTGGTTAGGGATTTGGTTGATGAATTTGGTTCCTATATTTAGCTTCTTTCTTTGTAAAATTAGAAAGCTGGGTATCGTTTCCATGTCCCTTTTAACTCCAAGATCCTATAGTTTTGTTTTTGTTTATATAACCCTGTAGCCACCCATTATATCTGGTTCAAACTTATGATTGTCAACCTCTGACTTGCTATACATGTTAAACTGGTCTGCCTGTAGTCAGATCTGATGGGTGTGGATCCAGCTTAGGGGAGCTTGGATCTGCCTCAGGATCATCTTGATACCCAGCACATGCCTGCAGATGTACATACCTGGGCAGAGTTCCATAATGTTAAGCTTCTGTTACTTTCTCTTCCTCATTTAATTGCAGAAAGTGCTGGTTATGCCATAGGGTAAATGCCTAACTACCTTCGGGAATGGTTAAGCTCAGGCCCTAGGACAGTTTGATACTCAGTTTTGGTATTTGGGTCAGGGTTAGGGGCATCACCAGAGAGCACTCAAACTATCCTGTGGTTGGTAAGGTTGTGTTTAGTTTCCAGATGAAACTTCTTATATTGGGTTATCACTTACTGATCCTATGTCAGAGAAGACTGAATTGGATCTACCTATATGATTTATCAGAATTAAATTGGATTTAGATAGGAGGGCAATCAGTTATTTAATTTGCCCGTTAGTTAACATTTCTTATTGCTGCACAGATATCTCAAGGCTTTACCTTAATGTTCTATATTTTCTCCTTCGTGGGCATGGTGAATTTTCCTTTTAAGATGCTCGGCATAATCCCTAATCCCTGTTTATATATTTGTCTCTATATTATATCAAAGTCATATTTATGGCTTTTAAAGAAATACAAATACAGAGAAAAGTATAGAAAACATAGATCAGTAATGAATCAATGAGTTGACTTTATGGAAGATTTTGGTTATTGCCTCATTTAAGCTTCTGTTGCAAGTAACAGAAATGAACTTGAAGTAGTTTTAGCAAAAAGGAAGAAAGGAATTTGTTGGAAAACCACTGGAAGCCAAATGCAGACAGACCTTATTAGGGCCTGAGATCAGGGACTGGAAAACCTGGAACATTCCCTGACTCTAGTATTTGCCTTTCTTTGATTCGCTGTTCTCTTTTTGCTGACCTTTTTTATTTTCCTTTTCATGGTTGAACGTGGCTACTCAGCAGCTTCTGAGTATTTTTGTGTCTTTTTATAAGGAGAGACTAAATTATTGAGTCTTGATCCTAAATTCCTGAGAGGAGCAACCTAATAGACACAGTTTAGGTCACATGGTTGATCTAGATTTTTCTCTCAGGTCTCTTCTAATTCTAGAGTTGTCTGGAGTATGTGGTATATCCATTTAGATGGTTTGATTTTGCATTTTTTACATTTTGTCTTATGGGGTTATTTGTCCTTAAAATGTATATTTGCTCTTGATGGCAGTGTGCTTGCGGAAGTGCATGACACCCTCAGTGGGATTCTAGGATGTTGGAGCAGTTCCTGTTGCTGCAGGAATGCTGACGAGGAAGCCTATGGAAAATAAACTGAGTACACACATTTGGGAATTATAACGCTTGAGGTCCAACTGAGTTGTGAAAATTTTCTCTGATAACTAATTCATTCTACAGATAATCATCTGCATATTTTCAGGAATTCACTTAATAAAATGCTGAGCTCAAATAGCTCTTTCGGGTAAGTTCATTAAAACTATGTAAGTGATAGAAATGTTCATACTAGTTTAGGGACCAAGAATTCATCAGTTATTTTCCTATTTCTCATATGTCTAGCATTTTCTACCTCTATCTTTCTTTGAGGCTGTTCCTGTTTTCTGGAACTCTTTTCTGAGAACAGGTTGAAGTCCTTAAAGCCTCTGTCAGATGGTAGTTTGTGAAGTCTTCCTCATGTCATAGAATTTGGAATTTCCTTGTGTTTCTAAGGCATTTTGAACCTTCGTTGGGGCATGACTTTGACCATCTTGTGTTCTATTTAAGTCCATATATATTCATCTTCTTCACTGGACTATAAATTCCAGTAGGCCAGTGAATCACCTAGAAGAATTCTTACAGGCTCTTAGTACCCATGGTCCCAGGTATAATAAGTCTGATTTTTTCAAATATTCTGAAACTTTTCTGGTGTCCTGCTTGCTGCTTTTTTCTTTTGAAATTGGAGCTCAATCACACTGCTTACTTTGCTTGTCTATTTCCTCCATTTTACTGGCTTTTCTATGAACATTCTGATTTCTCATATGAAGATCAAATATATATTTAATTGAATGATAGGATGTTTTCCTGTAAACTGAAATGGCATGGGGAAGGAGAGTATAGCAGGCTCATGTGGAAGGGAATCAGCTTTTGTTGAGCACCCAATATTTACCAGTTCAGATAGATAGAACAGGTATAGGAAAAAAAATGAGCATGTATAAAGAGGAATAGTGAGATGATAAAGTATAAAGATGGAAAATTAGGTTTGGCCTACAACGTGGAAGGATTTTAATGTTAGGCTAGAGAATTCTGGATTGGGTTAGCAAGCTATGAGATTGAAGGTTTTTGATCCTTGAAATATCACAATCAGAGTTGAGTTATAGGTTATATTATCTAATAGTACAGAAAATGAATTGAATTTGGGAAAGAAACCACAGGACTAATGAAAAAGTGTTGTGAGAGTTTTTGTTAAAGAATGAAGACCCGAACTAGGGTAGTAGTAATGCAGTAGAAGTGTTGGTGAAGTACATTGGACAGAAAT